CCGCCAATGGGGGTGGAGCTCCGGCGGGGAGTAACAGGTTGGTGGGCGGGGGAAAGGAACGAGAACCGAGGAACGGAGGGGAGGGCCCGGAGCCGCGCGTGCAGCGCGACCCCAGCCCGGAGTGTAAGCCCGGAGCGCCGATCCCAGTAAGGGTGAGTGGACCGGGCTGGGGGCAAGGGCATCTGAGGGGTAGGAAGGCCCGCAGGTGCACCCCAGGGGGACAGCAGTGAGGCAACCAGAGCTACCGCCCTTCAGGGCACAGGTGCCGAGTTGAAGAGGGGAGGAGGGGAGATCAGGGGCGGCCGGCAGGACTGGTGAGGAGCCGGTCCCTGCTGTGAGGTGCCCGGCCAGGTGGCAGCGGAGGTGTCAGGCGGGGGGCAGCAGAGGCTGAGGCTCTTCCCGGGGCGTGGTAGCGTCTCAGGGCCGGGATACCTCTGGAGGTCAGACGCCAGCCCTGGGAGCAGAATTGCTCTTAGAGACTGGGCTGGTGGGGGAAGGAGTTATTGCCAGTTGGGCGAAGGCAACTGCTGCCTGGGCTTCGGAGGCAGAAGAGGGAGCCCTCCGCAGGTGCTGTTTTCCCGAGGCTCCCGCCCCTGGCTGCCAGCGGAACTGGCCGCTGACACCTCCCTCCTGGCTCGGAGACGGCTCCGAGGTGGGGTCTCTTTCTCCATCCATCCGCTCTTTTGCAGGGGAAGGCGGCTGCTAGTGGAGATACTGAAGGGCCGAGCCCGAGGGCACCCTCCTCTCGGCTAGGCGGGAAACTGGTGTCTCTTCCTTTGCATTCTTGCAGGGAGAATCTTTTTTTCCTTCTTCCTCTTGAAAGAGAGTGGGTGTGCTGGCCAAGAGAGGGTTATAAGGAAGCGTAGATCCGGGAGCTACAAAATGTCTTGAAATACCATGAGACCTCTTTCATGTCAACCCTTCCCCCAAGCCCGGGTACTTTCTTCTTAGGGTCTAGATGGGGGCCACAGGGTGAGGTTTGGGAACGAAACCAACGAGCCCTCATTATTCCCTGAGACTCGCCGGGCGCCCGGACTCCTGAGCCGTGATGGCCGGCAGGCTGCCCTGGGCACTAGTGGAGCAGGAAATCAGCAGTACTCCCTGGGAGACCGGACCCGGGAATAACACCTCCAAGTCCCCAGGCCAGACGAGCGGTGCACCCTGGGCTCAGAGTTCCTGAGGTGGATTTCCTTGCCTTAGGCAGCTGTGGAACCCTAGCCAGGTTAGCTTGGCCCCTTTGACGCCCCGCCTGAGGAAAGTTGTCCTAATTGAGAAGTAATTAACAACCGCTATGATTGTAGCCAAGCTGCCTACACGTGCCCTGCGGGTTCACCCTGGATATTTGGGTGCAGGGGTCTGGCGATGGGGACTTGCTAATTTGACAGGATTCTGGCCTCCTAGGGTCCTGCTGTTCCCAGGCTGGCCTGCGTGCCTTTGCCCTTGTGGGAGGGGAGGGAGGTGGGGCTGCATCACTTATTGCCCGGGAGGTGGCCAAGGTAATTGTGGGATCCGGAATGCGACTTTGAGTACTTGAGAGGGAGTGGTGGAGGGAAACAAAGTTTTCCTGTCACGCGCTGGCCTGTCACCAGGCTCTTGGTGCCTGTGCTCCTCTTGCCTCTTCCCTCTCCACCTTCTGCCCCCTTTCAGAGCCTTGGTGTGGCATCCAAGGTGGACCGAACCGCAGCTCCTGGTCGTGCCCCTCTGCCTCCTCTGGTGTGGAATTTCTCTGGTCTGCTGTCCTCTTCCTGGCCTTCCCCTTTCCCCTGCCTCAAACCAGTCAAGCCAGTTTGCAGGGGCCCTGCTCTTCATTGTTTTACCCCCCCCCCCCACTGGCCGAGCAGCTCTAACCTGGCTCTCGGGTTTCGGCTTTTTCTGTAGACCTAGCCCGGAGTCCACATGGAGGGGGGGGGGGTTCTGTTTGGAACTCTTTTTGGCCGTCCTGGAGACTGCACCCAGGGCCTTTGCACGGAGCTACATCCCCATTCCATTTTAGAATGTTTATTTTGAGACAAAGTCTCGATAAGTTTCTTAAGCTGGGCTGGAACTTGGCATCCTCTTGCCTCAGCCTCCCTCCCAGAGTGCTGGGATCACAAGCATGTGCCACCATACCGGCTGGCACCCTTCCTATCTGTAGAATTTTATGAGAAAAAGGGAACATAGTGATCGAGGTCACTGAGCTGTCCTCTTCTATTTTGACCATTTGCTTTCCTTATTATCACCAAGAGCGTTCTAATCTGTATTTCTCTAGGTCTCCCATTTTCTAAGTGTGCCGGTTGTTTAGAATCCTGCAACTCCCCTTCCTCCGCACCCGAAACCGCCCCACCCCCGCTCCGACCCAGTCCAGGGACTCTGTCACTCCCAGTTGGAAGCCAGATGTGAATGGGTGGGCCCGAGGTGGTAGATGGGGCAGGGCAGGCTAATGAGTAACTCGGGAGAAGCGGCAGTCAGTCCGGAGCAGGTGTGGAGTGCCCTCCTCCGCTTCGAAGGCAGACAGGTCTTGCTTTCTTCCCTCGGCTGTTGGTGAGAGGAGCCGGGATCTGGCCTCTGGTGAGGGTGCAGGTCTGGGACCCATCACTGTTTACCTGGCTGGGCCTTACTCAAGGCCTTGGAGCTGCCCTGCCTCCTGGCCCCGCCCAGCTGTCCTCTGTAACCCAAGGCGGGTAGGTTTCGGGTTTTCCGTGGTGAATCATTTAGAGCCCTGCTTTCGGACCCACCCCAGAGGTCTCTCAACCCTCCTGGCCCCTTGGCCCTGGACTGAAGGTGATGGAGGCTGGAGAGGCCTGGGGCAGTGCTCCCAGTGCAGCCTCCCACAGCTTGGCCCAAGGGACTCTGTGTCTCCCTGACCTGGATCTGGAAGATCTGGAGATGTTCTGACGGGGGAGAGCTGCCCCGTGAATAAATCATGAGCCTTCGGAGAGCGGGCAGTCTAGGCACATCTGGCTCCGAGATCATGATGCCGATGCGTGGGGCAGGGGGTACAGACCGGGAAGTCCTGATACTGGGGCAAAAAAGAAGCGGCTGGGAGGGTCCGCGGGATTCATCTTCCTCTCCCCGTGCACAGGTCTGCTGGTGAGAATGGACGCGGTCTTCAGCACACGTACTCACATCTCCGTGGGCCGGGCACTGGGGTCAGCTTGTCACCATGGTCTTTGTCCTTTTGAGTGTGCTCTAGAGGGGAGGGGGACAGGAAACAAATAATCCGAATAATGTATAAACAGAGGTGACCCTGCAGAAGGCTCACTGGAGTGCATCTACGTGTGCTGGAGTGCTTCTCTGAGGAAGTGCAGGAGGAGGCTGGAAATTCCCCTGGAAAGGAGTAGGGTGTGTGAACAGTGACACTGGGTATCCCATTTATGGTGGGGCTTCTACATTCAGTATCTTGTCATTTCTCCATATTTGTTAAAGTGGAATTTAAATATGACAGAAGTGCACACATTTTAAGAATATAACTTGATTTCTTATTTTTATTCTTTTGAGACAGGGCCTCGCTATTAGTTCGGGTTGGGCTTGAACTCACTGTGTAGCCCAGGTTGGCTTCCAACTCCAGGTGATCTTCCTGCCTTAGCCTCCCACGTGCTGGAGTTCTAGGCATGTTTTCTTTTGTAGCTGTACTGGGAATCAAATCAATGGCTGCTCTACCACTGAGCTATATCCCTAGCGCTTTTTATTTTTTGAGGCAGGCTTGCCAGGCTGATGTCTAATTTGTGATCCTTGGGCCTCAACTTTCTGAATAGCTAAATAGCCACATAACTGGGTGCCACTGCACTCAGTTTATTGATGACATTTTAGGTTGTGTACACTGTGTAATTATTTAATTCTCACAGATAATTATCTCATGAGGTATCATCATACCCATTTTATTAATGAGGCTGAGTATGAGAAAAATTATGATTTGCTCAAGGTTATATACACAAGGTGAAGAGCAGGTCTAGGATTTTCCAGCCAGATCCTTACTGTAGTCCAGGGCTTTCCTAGCAAGCAGGTGATTATTTTGAAGACCTGCTTTACCTTTTTACCTTCACAAGCTTTTAAAAATTCTGTGTACGGAGCTGGGTATGGTGGCACATGCCTGTAATGGCAGCACCCTGGAGGCTGAAACAGGAAGACTGAAGTTCCAGCCCAGTTTGGGCAATTTATCAATTTAACAAGACCCTGTCACAAAATAAGAAAGAGCAGGGCTGGGGATTTAGCTCAGTGGTGCCACTGCCTCCCTCACAAGCGCAACGTCCTGAGTTCTGATCCCTGGTACCAAAAAATAAATAAAAAAGGACAGGGAATGTAGCTCAATGTGAAGGCCCTGGGTTTAATCTCCAATACAAAAAAAGGGGGGCCCCACAGATTTAGCTCAGTGGTGCACCACCTACCTCGCAAGTGCAAGGTCCTGAGTTCGATCCCCAGTACCAAAACAAAACAAATCTGTGATGAAAGTTTATTTGGGCTCTCCTGGGGAGGGTGTATTGCTTTCACAATTTTCTTGGTTCCAATCTCAGGGCCCCAAATATGCAGAACCATTCCCAATAAAGGGTCCCTCGTCCCTGTTCCTTTCCCTAGAGAGGACTGGCCGGGAATGCTAAGAATGCTCTTCTTTCTGGGTGTGGGGAGGAGGCTGAGGCAGGAGGATCAAGGACCACCTAGAGGTGACCAACCTGAATCTACATAGCAAGATTCTGTTTCTCTCTCCTTTTTTTTTTTTTTTTTTTAACTTTTTATTTTTACTGGTGTGTGTGTGCAGTGCATAATGATTGTATTCCTTGTGGGAAGTCGGTACGTGTACATAGCACATCTTAACTCTTTTTTCATTCCTCTCCCTTCTCTTTTTCTCCCTCTTCTTGGTTCCCTTCCCTTTTTTCTTTTTTGCTAAATAAATTGTGTTTTATTTTATCCCATTATCCCCAAGCCCCTTCCCCTCCCTATGTACAAAAGCTTTGTTTCTATTTTTCCTTCTATTTTCACTTTTTTTCTTGTTTTTTTTGAGACAGGGTCTCACTATGTAGTTGAGACTGACCTGGAACTCACTATGTAGCCCAGGCTGGTCTCGAACTCACAGCGGTCCTCCCGCCTCAGCCTCCTGAGTGCTGGGATTACAGGCCTGTGCTACCATGCCCGGCTTCACTTTTTTTCTTGTCCCTTCCTTTCTCCCTCCCTCCTCTCCTCCCTTGTTACCCTTCCCACTTGAACCCTTGTTTCCCGTATCCCAACATCCGCTGTACATCTCTGTCCTTGTTTCCACATTCAGTTTCTCACACCAGAGAAACAATGCGGTATTTAAATATGTGTGTCTGATTTACTTCACTTAAGAAGACTGTGTCTCAAAAAACCAAAAAGAAAGAAAAGAAAAAGAAAGGACGCCCTTCCTAAGAGGCTGTTTCCCCACCGGCCTTTCTTACCTGAAGCCTGCCCCTGGCACCCCTTCCCTCGTCTCGTCTCACCCTGGCCTCCAGGCTTCCTAGCCCTCTGCGATCTCTCAGGAGAGGCCTTGCCAAGTTTCCTTGGCCCAGAACTCCGTGCGGAGGTTGTGTTGGGTCTGTTTGTTTTTCTGTCTGGCACATTACAGGCTCCACTGGCAGAAGGGGAGGGGAAGCTGGATTTTGTTATTTGCTTGGAACAGAACCTCTGCCCTGAGTTCCTGGAGCCAGCGCACACCTGAAACACATTCCATTTGCTGACTCCGAGGTTGGGCAGTGTGGGCCAGGGAGCTGGCCTGTGGACGGCCTTGGCCCCGGGTCAGAACCCGTCCTGGCGCCCCTTGGCTGGCACACGTCAAGCCTTGCTGAGTGAGAGCTGTTTGCTTTGTTTGTGTGATGTGGAGATGGCATCCAGGTCTCCCACTTGCTATGCAACAGCCTGTCCTGAACTACATCTCCAGCCCCAGGTCGAAGCGTCCCAAGTTCACAGGGGACAGGAAGATACACAGTAGAAAACCCATTTCCCTTTACTTTCCCGGAGAATAGACTCCCCGCCCAACTCTGCATCTAACCCGGCTGCTGTTTGTGTGTGTGTGTCTAGAAATGGGGTGGTGGGATGCCAGTGTTGAGGTCCTCTGTATTTTAAAGGTGCCCTGGAAGGAGGCCCTGTTCTCTGGAGAATAGGCAGGACTAGGGGTTTGCGTCTCCTGCACACGGAAGGAAGCACACAGTGGACATGTGTACAGGGTGTGTGAGTGTGTCAAGCACGATTATTAAATTCCTTCCCAAAGCAAAGCTCCCCAGGGTCCTGTCAGAGTAAATGGAGTCTTTTAGGTCAGTGGGTTTCAAAGTGTGTTAGCCCTGGACCAGCAGGGAGAACTGGTTAGAAATGTAAACTCTCAGGTCCTACCCCAAATTTCCTAAATCAGGGGGTCTGCTCCCATATCCTGTGTTCCTGCTGCTCAGATAAAGTGCGGGAAAGGGGGCGCAGGAACAGTTAAATCGGGACGTAAGAAGAATTAAGATGTGTTACGCACGGGTACAAGCGCCATGTGATGAATGTGACCATTGTGAACTGCAGACACGTGCTAAGCGTGCTAATGTCAAAACTTTTAAATATCACAAAAATAGTTAAAGCGGGGAAAATAGTATGGGTACCACTGTTGGGTGTAGAGGAACTGAGGCTGGGCGGGCGGAGGCTTCTGGGCCTCTGCCTGAGCTTTCTCCGCTGAGATGGTCCTCTCCGTCCCCTAGGCCCCGGCTGCCCATGGAGCCGGCGTCCACCATGGCCGAGCCCCGCGGCCCCGTGGACCACGGAGTGCAGATTCGCTTCATCACCGAGGCCGAGGGCGGC